CCAAGATACTCATGTAATGGTACAAGATCCCAATGATGAATGTAACTGTATTTTATACCTAAAATGTACCAATAAACTTAATGGGGGGAAAAAAAAGACAAGACAGTGCATATTAGAGACTCCACATAAAAGACTTGGACTACATGAGAACACAGAAGAAAAGCAAATGGACAGCAGACATGGGAGGAATCTTATCTTTTAGAGAAAAACTTAAGCAGATAATATTCTCCTTCTTTCCCTTCCTATTAAATTTACAACAATAAAGGCTGAGGATAATACCCAATTTCCTACTCTGCCAGGGAATATGAGGAAAAAATGGGACTCTGTTTTATGTGGGTGATGGTAAATTGTACACTCTTTCTCAAGAGAAGTTTGGTAAAATGCTTCAGAAGGCATAAAAATATGTATGCACTTTGTTGATCCCTCCTAGGAATTTCTCTTTAAAAATGTGCCAGAATACACACAAAAAGCTATGTATAAAGAGGAGTTTTTAATAATGTTAGTTACAATAGCAAGTATTCACAGCAATCTGAATATCCAACTGTTGGAGGTAAATTATGTTTTATTTATGATTGGATTGTGAAGCAGTCAACTGAATATCATGTTTTCAGATATTTAATGTCCTAAAGAATTGGCTGCTGTGTAATAAAAATTTCTAAATGGTAAAGCATTTTACAATACTAATTTTGTTTTAAAATGCCATGTAAATGTACAAAAAAACTAGAAGGAAATATATAAAATCTTTTGTTATCATACTTGAGGAAGGGATACTGGATAATTTTTTTATTTTCTTTGCATATTTCTCCATCTTTGCATTTTTCTACAACGAATATAATCAAATAATAAAGTTGTGAAAATAAAAAAAAATAGCAAATAAATATATCCCTCAGAGTCCATGCAGTGAAGGTTCGGTCACCAGCCTGTGGCCTGTGTAGAACATTAGGGATAGGGCTACATGGACGGAAGTCAGAACACGGGAACCTTCCCATGAAGAGGACATTGTGCCCTTGGCCCTTCTTCCCCTTGCCTTGCTTCCCAGCCACTGTGCAGTGAGCAGATTTGCCCTGCCATGTGCTCCCCATCACGATGTCTGCCTCACCACAGATCCAAGTAACCACGGACTAAAACCATGTGCCAGAATGAGCTCTTCTTCTCATTGTTTATTTCAAATATTTTGTCACAGTGAAAGAAAACCGGCTGGGGAATTCAGTACTCTGGGTACCTCGCTGAGCTGGAAGTTCACCTGTTCTGCTTCTGACTCTGCTCTCAAGAGCTGCCATTTACTGCGCTGCTGTACTGCGCTACAATTTTAATGTAACCTAATTTAACTCTCCCTGCAATGCTGTTCCCGTCCCCTTTCTGCGGGTGGAGTAACCAGTGCTTGTGTAAACTACTGCAGATTTCACAGCTCCAAGCAGCAGAGCTAACACTGGAACTCAGGTGGTGTGGATCCAGAGTATGAATTCTCCACCACTTCTCCAGTGCTATGCGTTTCTAATGAAGTCGACTTTGACCCTCAGCTCAGCTTCAGCTCTCTGAACACCAGCATTGGGCTAGTGATCTTTTTCCCTGCCTTGCTCTCAAGGTTGTATTTAATGAGAAGTCTTAGAAAACCCATTTGAAAGTACAAGAATAGCCTAGAGATTGAGAATGTAGACTCTGGAGCTAGACAGCCAGGATTCCATGCCTAACTCTTCCAATTTGCTCACAGTCTCCACGCCTCAGCTCCTCAAACTTAAAATGTGGATAATGATAGTATTCACCCAATAGGGGTGCTGAGAAGGCTCCAGGAAGAAAGTCATTGACTGAGCTGCTTTCTCATCAGAGACACAAAACTCAAAACCCACAACTTAGAAGAGGAAAAGTTTACTTTGGCTCATAGTTTGTAGAGGTTTCACCCCATAGTCGGCTGGCTCCAAAGGAGGGTGGCATGGCAGAGAGGAAACAGCTCATGGCCTGGCAGCAGGAAGCAGAGAGATCAAGGGAGGAGGGAGGGGATGGACCCTTCCAGGCCACATCCCAAGGGACACACGTCCCCCAACCAGGCTTCACCATCCAACATTACCTTTAGCCATAAGCTCATCAGCAGACTAACCCATTGATGAGTATCACATTTGCTACAAACTCTCCAGTGGACTAATCTACTGAGAAGTATC